GGGGTTACAAAATCGTGCAACATTAACAGATACAAACATAATTATACATAATTTCAAAAATATTAAAACTTAATTAATAATGTTATGTTAACATGTTTAATAAATAACAGAAAAATTTATAAACTTTAAATAACATGTCAGAGCTTAAATTATCATCGTATAAACAAAACATATCAAAATTAGTCGTTAATAATGTATCCCTTAAATGTTCAGTAATTTCACAAGATACAAATAAATGGTTCTTAATATTTTCACAGAGTCGATTACATAAATGGCAGTTAGAATGGGCAGAAATATTCATTCTACGCCTATTTAATACAATAGTATAGTCATTAAGTCACAATTGAATTATCAAGGATTTAATATTATAACTTAAATTTGATAATAAATAATATCGAGGTGTCCATGGAGCTATTGAGGAAGTCTCAAAAAACCTACTCTTTTGTTCAATATATTGAATGTCTTGAGCCCAGTATTTATCTTTTAATGACTGAAATATTTCAGNGTATATGAACTATCATTTTCCAAACTTTCCAAATATAAAAAAAATTATTAAAAAATAATGCGTGTATAGGCTATATATATGAATTATAAGTACTTTTTATTAACATTTGCAGGGCGATTGTGTGGCGGATGGTATGATAAATCATACTTGCTATCATAAATGTTGTTAAAAACGTTTGAACAAATAAATTTTATTTTATTACTGTTATTTTTTGTGTCAATATGGAGAATTTAAGTTCCCGTAGTCCTTCTCTAATTGTATTCGCCACTGCCTCTAAATACAGATATTCTCGGAACTGAAAAATTGATAAACGGAAATATATAGGCCTACATGTACCGTACGTGGGTAGTCCGATATTAAAGGTACAGGCCAAAATTACACTGTTTATAATTAAAGAAAATATTTAATACATTCCACAAAAACTACATACTTTTGTTTATTTCTCGACATAATCGCCGTAACCGTCGAAACATTTATCCCAGCGTGACACTACTTAAACATCCCTTCATTGCTTTTCAAGTTGCTTGAAGTAGTCCAGAATCCTCCAGGTATCCTCCAATTCATCCTGATCTACAAAGTGTTTCCCGCCAAAATTTTCTTCAAAGGTCCGTATAAATGAAAATCCGAGGGGACTAAATCTAGACTATATTCCATACGTCAAATCAAACCAAACTGTGGTTGGCACAGCGGAATTGGGAGGCCCTGCAACATCCTCCGTATAGTCCAAATAGACTTTTGAGTCCGTATAGACTCAAAAGTATGTAGTTTTTGTGGAATGTAATAAATATTTTTTTTAATTATAAACGTTAGTGTAATTTTTGCCGGTACCTCTAATATCGGACTTTCCTCGTGTATCTATACACAATACAGTAAAACTCCAATTATCCGGATTCTGATTATACGGATCGCCAATTTCCTGACTGCCCTTCGACTTTGTTAAAAATAAATAGACATGAATGTATATGTATGTACGTACGTACTGTATATGCATAAAAAGTAATTTCTAACTGTAGGAAATAAACTATATTTGTAGGAACTGTACATTTCCACATTTTAATATTTTATTTGCACATAATTATGTACGGTACGCATATATACAACAAGGTGTTTAATAGGAAAAAAAAAAAAGACTATTGTAACCAAAAATTCAATGGAGGATGATTGCAACCCTGCTTTACACGCTTTAAGGAAATTATGTCTCATTAATAAACACTTGTTTATGAAACTATAACTGTGAAGATTTTCATTATTTTATTATTTAACATTTTAACTTCCAATAATATACTGTATTATTATTTTATCTGTAATGAAGAAAAAATAATGTAAAAATATGACATTAAAGTTTCGGTTCTGTCACCGCCACCTATTCTACTTTCGATCTCTATTACAGTTTGAACATCTAAATCTAAGCTATAATTACTCGAATTATTTTAATATTATGTATCAATTGAAATTATCTCTTATAATATTATTTAATATTTTATAAATTTCGAATTGCATTTCTATAATTCACTTATATAAACTAAAGACGCGACTCAATAGTACAAATTTGATTGGACGATATAATCACGTGACACAAACGGACTAACAAGGAAACTGTCGGAGTGTCTTCTAATAAATTTTAATAAAATTTAGTTAATAACTAAGTTAAAAGTATACAAACTCTATTTTAATTTTCTAGCATTCACTAAAAGTGTTGATCAGAGTTATTAGCAATCAAATGTTGCACTACTTTATAGTAGTTTAACACAATTATGCAAATTTTNTATGTATCAATTGAAATTATCTCTTATAATATTATTTAATATTTTATAAATTTCGAATTGCATTTCTATAATTCACTTATATAAACTAAAGACGCGACTCAATAGTACAAATTTGATTGGACGATATAATCACGTGACACAAACGGACTAAGTAAAACGCGTCACGATAAAAGCATAGAATTTAATTCTTTTATAATTAATAAGTTTTATTTTTTTTTCCTAATAAAATTATCGTTTCAATAATTTTATCACACGAATCAAAGTTATAATATGCGTGACTAGATGGCGTCTCGAATAAACAAAATATATTATTATAAATATTACTTTTTTTTTTTGGTTTTTTAATATATTTAAGAATACAAAAGAAAAAATTTATATGTTTCAAACTATATTTTATAAATATTTTTAAATTTATAAATAAAATCGTCACAATATGTCACACTTGCCAGTGTCCCATTGACACGTGAGAATCAATATCATTTACACTTATTTTTCCATTTTATAGATTTTAGATATTTATAATATGGGATTAAATAGAAGCACAACGATGTCAAAAACTGAAAATATTTATTTCAAAGAAAAAAGATGAACTATATTTTATACAGTAAGTATATTATTTACAAATTAAAAAACAATATGTCTTTACATGATACTACTTTTAAACACTACAATTGTTAATTAAGTGAAGTGTTATAAACAATGTGTATATTTAATGAGTAGAAGTTGTATATAGGTGTGTGTGTGTATATATAAATTACCCAAAGTTAACTTCTATCTATTTTTTATCCATAATTCTGTTGATTACCGGGAAAACATGTCATTATTAATTAATTAATTAATCAATTGATTAGCAAAATAAAAAAACTTTGCTAGTTATTTTTATTAAAAAGTAAATTTTACTTAAAAACAGACACATTTTTGATAGAATTTTAATTAATATTTTGAAGTAAAATAAACACAGACTATTTTAAGAACTCTTCTTTTTTTTTTTAATCAGTTTAATGATGAAAATTCTATCTTCTGAAGAATATTCTTAAGTTAATCTAACATTATTAGACTTAAAACATTATTAGACTTAAAACATCATTAGACATAAAAAAATAAATTATATCAGAAGAAGATTCTATTATAATTTTTTTTTTCTAAAAAAGTGCAGGTTAAAAATACAATTTTTTTTTATTTTCTAGAAATATTTAAACTCAATTTTTTATAAGGAAATTGTATTTTAATTTTTCCTAAACAAATGTATAAAATTCAGTTTTTTTTTTTTTTTAGGAAAAAAATTGATTCTTTTGTAAATATTTATTTTTATGTGACTTTACGTAATTTCAAAATAATTTAATTTTTACGTTAATATAGTTAATCTATATGAAATATAAATTGCGCCAAATTTTTTTGTGTATTTTAATATGTAAAATGTGAGATTTGGAAGTTGAATAGGCAGCTTGTGAATTTTTTAGCAGTATTAATGTAGTAGTAAGTCTGTTTCATTAATTTAATATTATTTTGAACTGAATAATTGAATTTAAAAAAATGATACAAAACTGTTGTCTTTATGTGAAAGGTATATCATATAATTTTTTTGGATTTCTTACTAATTTCAATTAGTTGATTTTAGGTTTAATAATTTTAATGTTTTAATAAATAATATATAATTGTTTGTATTATTAGCAGGACTGTCAAGAGGGGAACAGGAGTTTTTCCTTGAGCCTAGAGAAAACTTAGGGAACTACAGTGGTTCCTCTCCCTATAAATAATGTTTTTACTAACAGAAAGTAAAATCTTTATGACTATTTTGTATTAATGAAGAAAAATTCTATGCTGGGCTGTCGAGAGATCTTATAGGATTTGGGAGTGGAGTGGGCTTCTTTTGCCTCTTAGAGGATCCCTTTAGCCTTTTGTTTTTTGAACAAATGAAATGCACAGAATGTTTCTTTATTAATAGAAAGAAGTCTTAAAAAGATTTTATTTTCTATTAATAAAAATAATGTTAATTTTATAGGGGTAGGAATCACTATAGTTTTTTACAGGCCCAGGGAAAAATCTCCAGCTCTTCCCTGCTTGATGGCCCAGATTCTGCATATTTTATTTTTCAAAAAAAAAAAAAAAAAAAAAGAAAAANCTTAAAACATAGCGGAAAATAATTTGATACATCGGTAATTTCGAATGTTTAAATATTTTTAACAATGCCACACTGATTACTCTTTTACATGAAAAATTGGTCTAACATGTACTGTACTTAATGCTGAATTGCTTTGAATTGATGGTATAAGTAACGCAAGGCATAAACTATTTTTCAAGGAAGAACTGTTATAGGAAACTGGTCCTTATGTAGGTGTTAGAACACTCCTTGATATTTCTAGAACCCATGGCACAATTTAACGAAAATATCTACATATAAATTACATGTTAGAAAATTTTGGTAATTTGCACTGTACTGATTCAAACAGCTAAACAAATACAGCATGCGTTCAAAAATGTTCTATTATTTTTTGCATTACTTGGAATTCCAAAGTCTCCTGAGCCTAAGAATGTAAAAATTATAATGTAATCATCTTCTTCCTTCTGTTAAATTTTTTTTTATCTTGCTTTAAAATTCTATTATAGTACTGTACAGTAAATGTATGGTGTTTTATAATGCTAGAAATTCTCTAAATTTTTCAAACTTTAAAATATTTTACAAATAACAGTCTCCTATCGTAAAGAGTATAAGAACTAAACCCATTCAAATTCTTCTACATGAGTTTGAAAGAAATTAGAATTGGAATTAAGAAAGAATTGCATGTGTTTAGTATTAAATAGCAATAAATTGTTTGAATTAAGATTGTTATTTTTTTAAAAAAATTAAATTTTGAAATGTTACATATTTAGAATTATATGATCACAAGAATTCTTCATAATTCTTTTTAATATGAATCTTAAATGATTATTTGACATAAGAACTGTGTAAGAGAGTTAAACAGTTTTATAATTACTTAATAAAGGTAAGAATTATATTTTTCAAAATAATTTAATTTTTACGTTAATATAGTTAATCTATATGAAATATAAATTGCGCCAAATTTTTTTGTGTATTTTAATATGTAAAATGTGANATAAAGCATTTATAAATTATAATTGAAATATTATTTTTTTGCAGATATATTTGGTATTTTTAAATTGTTGATTGATGGGTACTCGAGCAGCAGCCTGTAAGTAAATTTATATTTTTATCAGTTTTGTAGAATAAGAGGTGCTAATGCTAATATTAATTTTAATAAACAAAGTTGCAATGCAAAAACTACAGGGTAACACATGTGAAACCAGCTCCACTCACTGATTGAGTAAATTACTTATTTACTTTGCAAAAAATGGACAAATAAGACAAAATAAAATTAAACAAAGAAATTCTGAAAACTTAATTTTATTCATAAAATATCATAGAAACTTGTATAACCAATGCCTCATTATTTAAAGAGATCTGATTCTATCTGGGACATCCTGTATAATTATAATATTCCTCCATAATTATGCAAATAAAAAAAATTAATTTAGATAAACTTTGTTTTATCAATTATTTTTTTTAAACATTCACATTTCAAATTGTCCATTGAGGGATTTTCCTCATAAATGAAAGAATAGGTCTCATAAGTATAGAAAATACAGTAATACCTTGGTTTTCATTAATTGCGGTTATTGTTGGTTTCGGTTTTTGTTGATGTTTTTTTGTGAAAAATATGTCTGTTTTTGTCGGTGTGCCCATGTGACTGCCTGCTGATTTTGTGGAAAAAAAAAGGGCGACCCACAGGTTTTCCTACTCAGTGTGGCGTTGTTTCTCATTGTGTGAGCATTACTCCTCATGTCTAGTGAAACAATTCCATTGCTTTTCTTTTAGCTCCATCATGGGACCAAAGACAGTTTCCAGAGCCAGCAGCCCTTCGAGTACCATGTTAAATACTATGTTAAATGTTAATTTATTCTTTACATTAGATTTTTATATTCATTTTATATTAATTTCTTATTGTTTTTAGTTTTAAACACAGTATTTATTTTCTATAAAATGTGTTTTTGGTATGTATTTTGGAGCGTCTACAACAAATTAAATGAATTTACATTGATTCATATGGAAATAATTGCTTCAGTTTTCATCAGTTTCAGATTTTGCCGATTGTTTTCGGACAGATATTGATGAAAACCAAGGTATCACTGTATAAATAATAATTAAATAAATATCAATCAATCAATCAATCAACATTTATTTGCTACGGCTTTTGCCTTTACAAAGGGGGTTACAAAATCGTGCGACATTAACAGATACAAACATAATTATACATAATTTCAAAAATATTAAAACTTAATTAATAATGTTATGTTAACATGTTTAATAAATAACAGAAAAATTTATAAACTTTAAATAACATGTCAGAGCTTAAATTATCATCGTATAAACAAAACATATCAAAATTAGTCGTTAATAATGTATCCCTTAAATGTTCAGTAATTTCACAAGATACAAATAAATGGTTCTTAATATTTTCACAGAGTCGATTACATAAAGGGCAGTTAGAATGGGCAGAAATATTCATTCTACGCCTATTTAATATAATAGTATAGTCATTAAGTCGCAATTGAATTATCAAGGATTTAATATTATAACTTAAATTTGATAATAAATAATATCGAGGTGTCCATGGAGCTATTGAGGAAGTCTCAAAAAACCTACTCTTTTGTTCAATATATTGAATGTCTTGAGCCCAGTATTTATCTTTTAATGACTGAAATATTTCAGCCATAAAAAGGTTTTTATTTGAGACCTGAATATAATAGTCAGTAGAATAACCTAATTCAGACAATAAATTTTCAACTGAGGAGGACCAAGTTACAAACGAAGAATTTCCGACTATTAATTTCAATTTGTTATAAATCAACTTTCTAGGGTCGCAATCTGGTAACTCCAAAATTTTACTCCAGTATCTAAAAATACTCATTGTTAAACGTATAGCCATTGGTGGACGACCCAATTCAAATCTTAAGACAGGTCCAGGCACCGAACGATTAATATGAAATATCGATCTAATAAATCTCAATTGCGTCTTCTCCAATTTATCAACAAAAGATGGTCCCCAAATAGGGAACATATACCCCAAACTTGAACGTATCAAGGAATCAAACAATCGATAATACGACTTAATAGAAGACTGCTTCATTCTGACCATAAGTTTTATTAAATTAGAAAGCTGTAGTTTATATTTCAAAAACAATTTATCTAAGTGAAAAGAAAAAGAACCCTGTGGAGTAAAATAAATACCCAGATACTTATAGGACGAAACTATCTCCAATTCAGAGTTAAATAAATAAAATTTATCAGCTTTCCCCAGTCTACCCCCTCTCCGAAAAACCATTACTTTAGATTTAGTCTCATT